CCGCCCCCAGTACCCATCTTCCACCCCTGATCTCCAACTGCACCAGGTTCTCCGCGCTTCAAGGAACTCCCCTCCTGTCTCCTCCAGGATCCACCCCACCACCCACTTCTCCTATCCTCTGCCCTGTAATCTCCCTCCCCATATTCTCCAGCCTCAGCCCACAATACTCTTCTGATGCCCCACCCCCAGTTCCCCGCTCCTTCGCCCCCTCCGGACCCCAGAAGTCTCCCTTTCGGAACCCCCAGACCCACCCCCTGCACAGACGCGCGCGCACACCCACACACCCACACACGCGCGCGCGCGCGCGTTACCTCCAGACGCCTCCGGGTCTCGGGGAACCCCCCCACCCGCCCACCAAAAAGCCCACTTCACTCCCCAGAACTCTAGTTCTGCTCCCCAAAGAATCCCACGGCGCCCCAGCGCTCCCGCGTGCTCCGCGCCCCCCGGACTCCCGAGCCCCGCGGGCGGCCGTCCCTGCCCCCGGCGCGCCCCCGCCCTCACCTGCCCGGCGCCGCGCGGCCAGGCTCCCGCAGCCACACAATAGGGGGCGGGCCCGCCTCCTGCCCGGCGCCCCAGCGCCCGCGTCGCCCTGGAGACCGCCGCGCCCCGCCCGCTGCCGAGGGGGCCGACCCGCGGGGCGGGGCGGCCGCGACCCCCGAGCGGCCTGGGAGTTGTAGTTTCGGTGGCGCGGGACGCGTGGCCGCGGACTCGGGCCGCCCCCTGGCGGAGCTCCGCGCGCCGGGCGCCACCCGGGGCAGCCGCCGCCAGGACCCAGGCCCCGGCCGACCGGAGCCGGCCCGCCCCCGTCCCGGGCCAGCCGCCCGCGAGCCCCGCGGTCTGCGCTCGGCCGGGAACAGGACCCCCGGGGGACCCGCGCGGTGGGGGCTGGGGGTGGGGGTGGGGTGGGGCCCGGGCTCGCCTCCCCCGCCCCACCCCCACCGCCACCCACCCGCTTCTGCTCCGGCCCGACTGGAAATACCTGTCTGCGCTGGCGAGCTCCCAGCTCCTGCCCCGGCGCCTCCCACAGGGTGCTCAGGGGACCGTGCGCCCGGGCCGAGGCTGCCAGGTCGCCCCCGCGGCAGCTCGCAGCGCCCGCGACCCCGCGAAACAGTCCGGGGGAGCGGGGGGGCGGGCAGGACGGGAGGCATCCGGACAGGCGCATGGAAAGATCGCCTCCTGAACTCTGCAGGGGGCTAGACCCTGGACTACGGGCTTTGCAGCCCTTAGGTCCCCTGGGCCAAGAACCTGGGGAGGAGGCATGGCTCTGCTTTGACTCATGAGAAAACTAGGACTTGCCCCAGACTTCCCATCCTGATCAGCGCAGGGCTGAGCGCACTCCCAGCCTGGACTTCGTGAAACCCACCTCGTTAGAGACTTCAGGCCAAAAGATGTCTGGCACTGCTGCCCCTCAGAGCTTTCTCCTTGGTGACCTGGGGGGCCCCTTAGGGATCTAGGGTCAACATGCCTTCTCCAGCAGGCTTAAGCAGCCATACCTGTGCAGGTCCTTCGCGTTCACTGCTTTACCCCCAGTCTGAACTCCGTGACTCCCATGGAGCCTTCCACGCATCCCATTCGTGGATTCATGGCCTCCAGGTCTACCAGAAGAGACCCTGCAGGACACACTGAACCACTCCCACCAGGACCCCAGCCACATTCTCCTTCCAGGTGGTCTCTGGCCCGACGGGCCCACATCCTGGGCCAGGAAGCTCGACATTCCCCCAGTAATCCGTTCCATCCTTAGGGACAGACTGCTGGAAAGTTCTTCCAGGTGTAAACTTCGGTGGGCTCCTTGCGACCGAGAGAGGAAAATGTGGCGAGAGGAGGGGGAGGAGGAGGGGAGGCAGGAGAGGTGGTGTGTTATTTCCCACCACCCTTCCGGCGGAGTCTCTCCAGGTGGCAGCTTTCCACATTCCTTTACAAGGTACCAGACTTCATGAGGCCACTCAGAGCACAGGTTAGCGGACGCTGTGTGAAAGCCAGGAGAGGGCTTCAAACAGATGTCCGCACCCAGCCTTCTCTACCCCGTGGTCCCTCACTAGCCAGCAGAGAAGATCTCCCTCCCCCTCTGATCCAAAAGTTCGTATCTGCTGTTTCCAATGTTTTCTTCCTATTTTTCTTAATTTTGTTTATTTATTTGACAGAGAGAGCGCACAAAGGGGGAACAAGCAGAGGAAGAAGGAGAAGCAGGTTCCCTGCCGAGCAGAGAGCCCAGTGCGGGACTTGATCCCAGGACCCTGGGATCACGACCTGAGCCAAAGACAGACAGACAACTGACTGAACCACCCAGGCGCCCCTGTTTCCAGGGTTTTCTTGAGGAAGAGCTAATTTCATTTGGTTGTAAAATAACTTTTTGTGATCTTGGGATTTAAAATAACTTTCCATTTTTAAAAAGTTGATGGTCTGGTTATTTTCCCCCCGAATCCTTATTTTGTGAATTGTATTATTATTGTCATTTTGCTCTGATTCTGAAGTATCTTGTGGGCTTTTGGGCAAGAACAGGAACCTAGCCCCGAAACTTGTTGCCTCACTGTGCCAGAAGTGAAAGTTAATTAAAAATAGTCCCTGAGTCTCAAAATTAAGATTTTCTTCTGGGTCCCCCTCGTTCTGTGATTGTTACTCTCTGGGAAAGGGTGTTCAACCCACTAGGATTTTATGTAACCCAAGTATCAGCCGGCCCACATATTTTCAACTTGCTGAGAAGAAGATCAGTCATTGTGGTCAGTTCCACGGGCGCCACTGACCCCTGGGAGCACTAGCTCTATCACCCGGTGTGGTCTCTCACAGACTGTCCCCTCGCCATGGGCATCCCTACCTTCTGTCCCCGTGAGGCCGTAGGTCCAGGAGGGTGTTCCTGCTTGAATGTCCCACAACGCTGAGTCTCTCAGAGGGGCCTGGCCTCCTCTTCTGACCCTCTTCTTACCTCTCCCTTTGTCCCCTGCGTGGTATGGTCTCAGTCCCTAGAAGTCACTGTGCTCTGCCACAAACCAGTGTCTTCCCATTCGTCTTCTTTGAGGCGAGAATGTCCCTTCCTTGGACTCCCGGCTAATCTGGGGTCAGAAACTGTGCTCTCCTCTTCCCTTGGGGGCAGGGACCCATCCTCCCACTGTGCCCTCACCTTCACCCATGGCCCTTGTCACACCTCGTAATTATGGTCTTCACAGACTGCAGGAAGACTTCCGTGAGGGTAGGCCAGGTCTTTCCTGCCTCCCCAGTGCTAGCCCAGTGCCTGACTCTTAGTGGATCCCTAAATACTGCCCTCCCTCCTCCGCCCCACACCACTCCTGCCCCCGTTTGCTTCCATCTGTGTCAAAGGGCAGGCAAACTCTGCCAAGGGCGAAGTGCTACCAGCTGATCATTTCCCTGGCTTCCTGCAGACAGAGTGGCCCGGACCTCCCTGAGCCGCAATTCCTCCGTCTGAGGGGCTCTGCCTTCCTCTTTCAGATTCCCCCTGATGCTTTGGGGTTTCAGCCCTTCTCTGTTCGGAGATGATGGAAGAAAGACTTGGCCAGCTCCGGGGAGAGCCCTGGACCAGATGGACAGGGACCATCCATCTCTTTACTCGCTTTCCGTGGGCCTAACTCTGAGATCCAGGAAAACCCAGCAGCCCCGTGTGCCTTCCCAGTCAGTCTCCAGAAACGGAATGCAGGAGCTGGAGGAACAGGGGCTGCAGCCTTGGCCCTGAACCGCAGGCCTCTTGGAAGGTGGGACCTCCTGGGGGACGGGGCAGAGGGGCAGAAAATCAGCCTCGGGCCAGGACTGCCTTCCAGGGGGACAAGGGCTCAGGCCCCCAGGGAGTAGAGCTGATCTGTTGCCCACCTGAGGAGCTCTTTGGAGCTTGGTTTCCCAATGTCACCAACTCCATTCCAGGCCCCAAGGGGCTCCATCTCCTGCCTAGAAACTTAGGACACTCCCCCCCACCACTTGCCTCATGGCCTTGCTTCCTTTCCAGGCTGGGACCTGGGAAAGAACCCTCCTCCTGGGTGTCCTAGTGCCTAGCCCACCTGCCCTATCTTCCCAAAAGCAGTGTCCTTGGTCCCCACGATTCCCCTACGCATCCCACTGCCCCTTGGAAGTCATTTTGGAGACCAGCATCCTTCTCACTGAGAGAGGGGAAGGCAAGCAGGAGGAATGTAAGATAGTTTCTGCCACACGGCCCAGCCCTGGTCCCTCACTATACTTCAGAGATCCCCCCCCCCAGGGGTACCAGCCAGCCTTCCCGTGCCGCCTCAGCCCCAGGAAAGGGTCGGAGCCTGAATGGGTGTCTGCTGGACAAAGGGCTCAGCAGGCTTGGGTGAGGGGTTCAGGCTGCTGGGGTCAGCGTAAGGGCTTGGCCAGGGATGGGTGCACGTGGAGCGGGTGGGCGTGCCCCCAGGACAAGGGTCCAGAGAGTAGGTCTGAGACTGGAAATCTGGAGAAGAGGACCAGACAGCAGTACCAACCACAGACAGCATCAGCGGTCTAGACTCCAGCTACCAGTCCAGCCCAGTTGTCGTCCGTCTTGGGGCCGGCCTCAAAGGCCGGGCCGCAGAGGCCAGGAGCAGCTAGCGAGTGTCAAGTGGACGGGAAGGCGACTGACTGAGGGTCACCTGGCTTGGCTCAGCCCCGGGACGCAGGACATCTCAATGGGCCACACAGCTTCTGCCCTGAGCCCAGGGACTGGGCAGGCGGCAGGCTCTGAGAGCAGAATCTGAGCGGGAAGTTTAGCCCCCCTGGGGCTGCTCAGTGCTCCCACCTCTCTCTGGCATCTCTCTGGCACCTCTCCCCGGCGTAGGACTCCCAGACTCAGGTAGGGTCACAGGAAAGTGTACCCTGGGCGGGGGTGGGGTAGGGGCTGAAGAATAAAGACTGCTGTGAAGGGGGCTTTGGACTCACTCTCCTTAGCAGAGGCAGGCGTGGGAAAGCACAGCGGCTGCGGGGGAAGACGCCCAGATCGCAAGGAAAGCCCGGGAAGCAGGTCTGGGGAGTGGTGCGGCCGAGGACCCAACGTCACCCCCCAGAGCGGTGGTCACCTAATTCGACTTTATTGCGGGATAATCATCCTCTCCCCCACCCCCTGTGGAGTATGGCCCTTACAGCACCCAGCCCTCGGCCCCCTGGGAGGAGAGGCCCCCGGGGGCTGGGGGAGAAACAGCGCTCAGGACTGTGGTCCCAGGGTCGCTCAGGCCAGGCTGGGGTGGGGCTTCTCCTTCTTTTTCAGTCTGAGTCTGTTTCTCTCGAGCTTCCTCTTCCTTGGTGTTCGGCCCCGTGTTGGGGCTCCAGTGAGCCACAGCCCCGCAGCCAGGACCACAAGGAGCGCGAGGAGCAGCAGCCCCTTGGTCAAGACGCAGGGGTGAGTGGACTTCTCCGAAGGACAGCCGGGATCTGGGGCAGAAGGAGGCAAGGAGAGAGGGGCTCACCAGGGCGGGGGAGGGGGGAGGTCCAGATTCAGAGGCGGACACCCAGCCCAGATCCCACAGAGGGGTCTCAAGTTCACAGCCAATTGCTGTTCCTTGGCAAGGGTCCCTGGACATGTGTGTTCTGATCACAGAAGTCAGGAGCTGAGATGCAGGGAATGATCTCAAGCTGAGCGAGAGACTCGAGAACCTTTGGGAGTTGGGAGCGCCGGCCCCGTCCCCAGCCCAGGGGACCAGGTCCCATGGGGAGGAGTGCAGTTCTGGGTACCAGGTACTCTCCTGGGAAGAACGGAGGGAGGGCGGTGGTAGCTGAGAGCCCTGCAGTAGCTCGGGGCTGTCCCCAGGGGCCTGGTACCTGAACAGAAGGACCCGGCAGGGATGGGGCGGGAAGTGATGCTGCTGACGGGGTTGCTGGCCCTGCAGGTGTAAGAGGGGGCATTATCCCCAGGCCGCCAGGATGTGCTGAGGGCAGAGCTCTCGTGCACTGTGTCCACACCATCCTCCCTGGATAGCCAGGTGTAGGTCATGTCCAGGCCTGCCTTCTCCACAGAGCAGGTCAGAGATATATTACAGCCATCTTCCTGAGAGATCTCAAAGTTCACGGTGACACGAGGCTCCGACAGCCGGCCTAGATGAAGGAGGGACACAAAGACCCTCTTAAGTAATCAGGGGTTGGGGCTGTTCTCTTAAGGTCCTCAATCCTGAGGGGACAGGGGTGCCTGTCCAGAAACTAATACAGCTGCTGTAAAATCTGGTTCCAGGGTCCCCCAGGCAACTACTAAGGTAGATAGGGCTGCCTTTGGCATTTTCTACGTGCCCCCCAACATGGCCTCACCTTCTCTCCGTCCCCTGCACACCCTACCTTCTTCCAAACCCATTCTACCTCGTTGATCCCAGAAAATACTGTCACACCTCCTGGGGGCATTGATAGTTTAATCAGTGTCTCTGCAAGATTCCAGGTGGAGATCAGTCAGTGTGTCACGGGCACTGAGAAACTTGGTTCGGGTGGAGAGGAGACATTGATTAGCAGCCCTCACAGGGCACAGGGGGATCGAGCACTCAGGCCTAGAGGCCGCATCCATTCCCAGGATGCAGGATCTCAGTGGGAGAGAAGGGCCCCCGGACGTCCGCACACAAAGCTCCAGACCCCTCTCACTGCGCGTGGAAGGTCCAGGGGAACAGCCCACGTGCCCAGGGCCTCGCCGCTCCGGTCACTCCGCAGCTCAGACACCGGGCTTGGGCGCACAGGAGACAGCCCACCTCCCATCCCCGCCCCTCCAACCGTAACTCTGAGTCCCGGGACCACTGCTCCTTCGCGCGCAAAGCTGGGGAGAGCCCCGGACAGGCAGCATCGGAGCCCCCAGCTGACACTCACGGTACACACGTAGACGGTAGCGCTGCACGATGGAGATCTGCGACGTCCTCAGGTTGACCTGAGCCTGGTACGGCCCTGAGTCCTCCCAGCTGAGATTGCTGATGTGCAGGGAGTAGCCGGGGTCGGGAAAGCTCACTCGGCCCTTGTATCGAGGGTTGGTCACCTCGATGGTGGCCGGCTGCCCCTCTTTCCCAGGGACCATGGTGGCAAGCCTTACATGAGAGGACCAGACGATATTCTCAAGCTCTTCATCGGCTGGAACTTCCAGGGGGAGTCTGACAGACTCCCGAAGGACCGCAACGATGTCCTCTGTATCCCCATCATCTCCAGAATACCCTTCCGCTGCAGAAAAAGGAAGAAAAGACGGGAGCAGCCCAACTGGTGTGTCTGGGCTGCTGTGCCCGAGGCCTGGGCAGTGATGGGCGTGCACCTGTCTCCCACGTGTGGCTTCCGTGGCCCCCGGCTCCGTCCCAACCCTCTCTGGCTCTAGCTCCTGCTGCACCTGACCTGAGCACCTCCCAGGCCTTGGCTTCTGTCTGGGCCTTCCTCCTCCAAATTTCACCTTGGCCGTTTGCTGTGGTGCGCTGGCCCCCTTCTGCGTTGCAGGCTTCCCCACCTCTTGGTCCTCAACCGCAGCCACACCCTCTTCCTCTTTACTCCCGGAGAGCTGAAGCATCCAGCCCCGAGCCTTGCCAGCCCGAACCCCAGCGGGACAGGAGAGCAGAGGGAGGGAGATGCTCCCATCCCAGGACCGCAGTCTCTCCTCTCTCACCTGTCTGGACCAGCAAGAATAGGAGAAGCCGCGGAAGGGCCCCCATGACAGCAGCCCCGCCCACCAGCAGGCTGGCCTCCTGGCCCCCGAGCTGATGAAGAAGACCAGCTGCTAGGTCAGGAGGCTGCTGGAGACGGAGTGACTGACTGACAGTGTCTTGGAAGGGAAATGCTTCTCACCGCCGCCCCCCCCAGCAGCCTCCAACTTCCTTCATCCCCACTAAGCCCCTCCCTGTCCATCTTGGGAAGTTCTCTCTCGGAGTCTGATTGCCCGGCTGGTTCACCCACTGGCCCGTGCTTCCTGTCTATCACACCCCACTCAGATCCCACTTCCTAAGAGAAACCTTCCTAGACGCCCTGCCCCTGTGTTCCCAAGCAGCCCCCCTCCCCCACCTGTCCGGAGCTCTTGGCCCTGAGCGTACCCTGGGTCAGCTCTTGCTTGGCGGTTCCTATGTTGCTGTCATGCATTGACCTTATAAGCGTTTTTGTCTCCCCAGATGGACCCCGTCTTCTGGGACACCTCTATGTCCCATGCTAGACACATGCAACACCCAGCTGATATTTCTGGAGTGGACGAACAAACGAAGCGTTCCATATTTCAAGCTTGCCAGGTTCCCACTTGAGAGACTATCAAGAGGAAGAAAAATTTTAACTCTCTTAAAAAAAAAAATGCACACTTTGGGCCTGAGAGCCCATCTAGGTTAATATTATGGAAAGACTAACTTGTCCTGTGAGGCTGTGACGCGGACCAAAGCTAGAGGAGGTCGGACAGGCGGAGCTGCTCAGGATGCCGAGGTGGCCTCGGGGGGAGTCTCCGTCGCTGGTGTTCAAGCTCACAGGGGACAGTCTTGGGTCGGTGGGTGACTACAGACTCTCTTGCTGGGTACTCGGACAGGAGAACTTTTACGTTTTTCGAGTGCCCAGTCTTACAGGTCTGTGCGGTGATCAGGAAGCAGGAGTGATGGCCTAAGACTGAGGCCACGGCGGAGGCAGCTGGAAGCTCCCCAGGCGTTCGCGGTATCAGATTCAGCCCTTGTCAGATACTTTCTGAGCAGCTGCGTGGCCCGGGTCCTATGTTCTGAGCAATTAGCCGTGACCAAGAGCTTCAGATCACGACTTCTCAGGGGCTGAGATCTGACCAAGGACAATTAAGAGCGAGTTGGATGAGTTTCACCCACGGACTCGGACTCTTCTGGGTTGCTCAGGACAAGGGGTTTAACAAATGTGAATTCAGGAGGTCAGAGAAAGCCCTCCAGGAGAAATGACCTGAAGGTACTAGGATCTGCTAAGTGCAGAAGGGAAGGGGGTGGGCAGTTCCGGAAGTTCAATTTGGGAGCATCAAACCTGAGAGACTGTGGTTTTTTGAAAATGCAGATGAAAACGTTCTTACGCAGTCTTCCTATTTAAAAAAATTTAAAGCAAATTTTAAAAAATAAGGAAACAAGTTCACGTGTGTAATACCGAGTTTAAAAGGTGAATCTATCCGTTGGGGTAGGTGCCGGTGGGCTTTGGGTGTGAAGGAGGTTTCCTGTGGGTGGAGGGGAACGCCCACCCTATAAAAGATAAAAGGGAAGGAAGCAGAGTGGGGCAGGGGGAGCCCACGCCCCTGTCATGCAAAGCAGATCCGCCCAGTCTCTGCCAGGGCAAGTTGCTAAGTTGGTGGGGGCTCTGGGGCCAAGATCCGACCCCCGACCCCGCTGTGCTCTCTGGCTGAACCTGCCCCGGAGGAGCGGGGATCCAGCTGCAACCCTGCAGCTGAAGACAAGCTCTCTCCGGAAAGGAGACCCAGGGACCCCCCACGGCAGCTCCACGGGGATCCACCAACAGGAGCTGTGTTCAGATGGGTTAGACCCGTCTCCACCAACAAGAACAAACAGTGTGTGTGCTTATTGAGTAGAGAGAGGTAATTCACACACACACACACACACACACACACACACACACACACACCCATACACCCTCCCAGTCCACTGTGGAGAAAGAGCTTCTCCGAAGACGATTTTCAACCGTTCTGAAAATCTAATTCATTCTGGCTCATAGATTAGGATCCAAACTTAACTCCATTTCTGTGTTTCACTGCCCCTTCACTTTTTTTTTAAGATTCTATTTTTTTTTAATTATTTATTTATTTGAGAGAGAAAGAGCAAGAGCACGAGCGGGAGAGGTGCAGAGGGAGAAGGGGAAGCAGGCTCCCCACTGAGTGCATAGCCTGGACCCTTGATCTCAGGATCCTGAGATCATGACCTGTGGGAAAGTCAGAGGCTTCACCAACACCCAGGTGCCCCAGATATTTTATTAATTTAATTTATATTAATTATTTAATCATTATTAAATAATAAATATTTAACTTATTATTTAATTAACTTACATTAATCTCTACACCCAACTTGGGCCTCAAACTCAAAACCCTGAGATCAAGAGTCCCACATACTCCACCAACTGAGCCAGCCAGGCGCCCCCCACCCTGTCACTTTTATTCAGTGGGGTGGTCTTCTCCTGCCCCAAATGAGAACTCTGGTCTTGGCTTCTGTCTCAATTCAGAGATGAGTACTTCCTGTCTCATGAAATATACAAAATTTCAAACTAAAATTCAAAGCAATCTCCCCTTCCCCTGGCTTGGCTCTGTCTCAGGTTGGAGGCTGACACTGGAGGATGGGAAAGACCCTCTCTCCTCACTCCCAACTTACCCTGGCACTTCTGCTGCCCTGAACTCCCTTCCCCCAACCTGTCTCCCGCCTCTCCAGCAGGGCCGGCACGAAGGGGAAGTGATGGAATCGTTCTCACCGGGCCGAGTGGCTTTGCTGTCTGGGGGTCTGGCAGATGGATACGATGGTCTCTTCCTCAGAGGAAGAGTTTTGTCAGTTCCTAAGAGTTTCCACTGGTCCCATCTCTCCTACCCTTGACCCTGGGTTGCTGCATCTCTATTCTGGGTGGTCCTTTGAAGGTCCCCCCACTGCCCCTGGACATCTGGCCAGCTGTCCCCACTGAGTGGCACCAGACACCAAGCAGGCTGTGTCTCCCTGCCAACGCTCGGTGGCCTGCCATATTCCTCCCCTGACACCAAGATCCGCTGTCTGCCTGCGAGGACCCCGATCTCAGTGCACGATGGTTTCCACTCTGCCAGGCCTGGTGTCGACCCCTGTCCCCTGGTCTCCCATCTCTGCAGGGCCCGCATGACAAACCTCCCCAGTCCTGTCCGTCACACTCTCTCACTTGGCCCACGTCCCTCTACCCCACCACTGGAAGTGGTGAGGACTCACAAGGAAGTAACAGCTGTTTCCAAAGAAATCTCTTCCTAGTCTCCTGCTCTGAGCTCCCTACCCAGGGTGAAGGGACCCAGAGCAGTGACACAGGCTCCCCTTCGTTCCTGCTGATCTGCTGACCCCTGTCCCATAGCCCCGTGGTGGGACCCTGAAGGGAGGCTTCCAGCTAACATCCTGCGGGGGTTCCCTTCCTGCAGCCTGGGGCCCAGTGGATAGCTGCGTGAAGGCTCCCCTCTGCCCCCTATGTGCGCACCTCTGCTGCTCCGCTTTGGGGCTTTCAGGGAAGGAGCGGAAGGCCACTCAGCCCAGGCGCGGTGCCGCGGGCCATGTGGGGAGAGTGCATACCCCAGAGCACGCCCAGCCATCGACACACCCTTCATTCGTTTTCCTCCTGTTCCCGGTTCCAGGCGTGTGTTCCTCATCCTTTCCAGTTGGCTTCCGAGCTCACCTCCCACAAAGACGTCCTCCACCCAAGTCCATGTCCAAGGCCCTGCTCTGGGAGGGAGGGACCTAGATTATGGCACAATAGTACATGATAAGGTAGTTGAGCCAGTAAAATTTAGATGCCCTGGATTTTTAGGGGCAAATACGTCACTGAGAAGGAATAAGCCCCCGCCCCAGTTCTCCTGCCATAACAACCCTGGGAAAGAGGAACCAGGAGAAGCAAGTCCTGCTCTGATGGAGGGCTGGGGCGGTGACAAAAGGTCAAACCCTTCATCAGACTCTCTCCTTGGCTTCTCTTTGGGTCTGGAAAGACGGGGACCCACACAGCAAACCATGACCCTGGAGGAGCCATCAACAGGTAAGTCCCCAACAAGTCACCTCCCTCTCAAAGCAAAGCCAGTGGAGATGTGCATGTCTTCTATTTTATTCCATCTGCCTGGTCTGCCTTCTACTGTGTCAGGGTTAAAAGGCTGGTTTCTCAGCCTCACCAGGAAGGTGTACCCAGAGGGGCCACTGGAGACAGAGGTGACAGCAGCCCTCCCTGTGGAGGAGGGACCGGCCCTCACGGGGTCCCCAAGGTGGGAGAGAACAGCGCACACCCACGGAAGCTCACGGATCTGCCTGGTAGGGCCGAGAGACTGGGTTGCAGGGGCTGAGCAGAAGCAGGCAGGGGGGCGGTGGGGGCTGCCGGGAGAGGGGCAGGAGTCAGCTCCCTGAGCCTCATGGGCAGCTTGGGTTTATAAGGCCCCCCTCTCGCCAGCATTCGCCTTTCAGAGGCAGAAGAAATACAGCAGGGAGGAGAAAACAGAGTGTGGGGTAGAGGGAAGGTTGTATCGCTGTTGGTTTTTTTTAAGATGGGAGAGATCCGAACATATTTAAATGTTGAGAAGAGAAACAAGCACGGAGTGGGGATGGGGAAGCAGGACATAAAGGAGCCAGGGGATGAAGCGAGGCCCCACTGGCCCCCAGAGGAAGGGAGGGAGCTCAGATTCAGAGCCCAGCAGGAATACCCAACCTTAGGTTGCAAGGTGGTCTTTAGTAGAGTAAGCCGGCCGGAGATGAAGGACGGTGCGTCTGCGGCATTTCAAGGGGAGCCCTGTCTAGCGGTTTCCATTTCCCCTGCAAAGTGAAGGCCACATTATTGGCTGAAACCAAGGTTGGAGGTGCGTCCAAGGCAGGTGTTTTAGGAGAAAGGGCAGGCTTTGAAACAGATGAGGTGACTCTGCGTCCAGGTGTCTGGGGGCT